AAATGATACATTGGATTTAACAAGGTTTACAAAAACAATATAAAGAATATGGTGTAAATTTTTGTTTTTGGTGTTATTCACTATGATATGTTTTGATAAAATGCAATGAAATCAATTCCCATCAGAAAACCCTCAATAGTTTCCAGAGTTCTCCTTTGTTTAATTTCAGTCTCAGTACAAATATGGCTTTTCTGTAAAGACCTAACAGTTTCATGAACCATGAAGAGAACACATTGATTTAAGAGAATTTAAGAAAGCACTTTGGTCAGATGAGTCTACAACTTAACTTTTTGATCTACACGCACAGTGATTTGTGATGTGAAAAAAAATAAAAATCTAAGTCTGCACCTCATCCTGAATACACTGTTCCCATCTTAAAATGCGGTTGGTGGCATACTGCCATGGTGATACTTTTGTTCTGGCAACTTTTTAGAGTTAATGAGAAGATGGTTTGAGCTAAATACAGGGCTAAAGGCTTGAGACTATGAAAGATTCTGTCCCTTCCAACAAGATAACTCTAAATGTACAGCCAGAGCTAGGGTGGGTGGTTTAAATCAAAGCCGTATGCATGTGCTATAATGGCCCAGTCAAAGTCCGGACTTAAAGCCAACTGCAAATCCACAGCAAGAATTGAAAATCAATGTTCAGAGATGGTTTTCTGCTCAGTCTAATTGTGCTTGAGCTATTTTACAAAGGATGGGCACAACATCCCCCAGAGTCATGGTCCAAATTGTTTGTGGCTCTAAGACCATCAAAGTCATTTTAGAGACACATGCCACAATTTTTATATTCTTTTGTGTTCAACTCTTACAAAAAAGTCCAATAAAATTTTTGTTTTGTACTCTTGCCATGACAAAATATGGAAATGTTTAAAGCAGTTTATGGTTTAGATTCTGTATTGACTTTTTAGTTTAGTGTGTCTCTGGTTTCATTCCTTTCCCTAACTCATCCTTTCACCCTTATTAAGTTTATCACTGCCAGTCCACACACAATTGTCATTTGAGATCCACTTTCTGTACTCTATTTATTACAGTACCATATCCTGGCAAATAATCTGAAGTGAACTCTTAAAAGTGTGAAATGCTCACATGAAGGTTATCATAGCCCTGGAATTGGTCAATTAATCAAACAGTTATCTGTTTCCTTCTGTAAAGGATGTCAGGGTGCCTGCAACTCTGCAGATCCAGCTGGCCTAACTAAAAGTAAGATTTCCTTTTTTTTCCATCTGAGGACATCAGCTGCCGGACTGTGGGCTTTAGCTCTGAAGCCTTTCCAGCTTTTCAAAATCCTTAGATTTGAATGTGAATTCAAGGACATTTTCAAAGTACTGTGCAGGAGCCCATATGTGGTTCTACAGTAATAGAGAATGCATTGTATTAATGCATGATAGGTTGAGCAACAGAAACTTCACTCAGGCCACAGTTTCAGCAGCAGATGGAAGACTGTGTAACACATGTAAAGTAGCCAAGACTGCTGTTCTTAATTTTTCATGTGTTGCCTGAGGATATCCAACATGACAGTGGTGCACACCACTGGCAGAAGTGACTGACATTCCAGCCAATAACAAGCGAGAGTTTTCTTCCCTCTGTTGTCAGCTGTGGTTTATCAATCACTATGTCTGCATCAGTATTAGTGTATTGATCCGGGAAAGCTGCTCTCTGGGTCAGCGTCTCCTCTCAAATGTCCTTGTCTGGCTTCTCACATCCTCCACTTCCTCTGCTGAGTTTTTGCTCCTGCTAAAAATGTATCTATCTCCTCTTGGGGCTCAGTCAGCAGGATATTTGTAGATAATGGTGGTTTCAGCACATACATCCACCACTTATGTAAGCTCCAAAGCACGTACACCGATATGTAGGCATCGTTGTGTGATGTATAATGGCGGGCTTACACAGGCTAAGTGGTAGTCAAAGCGTAAAGACAGCCTGTGTGAATTATTAGCTCTGACAATGACGCTGATCATAATTATCTTAACAAGTGCAGGATTCATTGGCTCACCTCGTTAAAGCGACTTTCTGTCTCTGAAAGCTACTGCTGCTCGGTCTCCTCATGATAGAGGTTTAACATAAACTCGTTTGATCAAATATGGTACATATTTATTTTTCTAAATATGTACCAAATTGCTCCACTCTGATTTGAATTCATTATCACTCAAAGAGTATTTTATTTTACTTTTTAACTTCTTAAAAATACAAAGGATAAGTGGTGTTTTTGAAGAAACCGTGCAGTTATTGCTGCTCTTTTTGAAGAATAGAAATAAACAGAGAGAGGTGTATATTTTGTCATTGCAAGTTCATTTTTGGCTCTTCATTTTTTCTGGATTCCCAACTTTTACCAAAAATAAGTTGCAGGCGGTTATTCTCATTAGTAATTTTAAAGTTGAAAAAAAAAGTGTTTTTTTTTTTTTCAGCTTTCTTTTATTAAGGAAAGTGCTTTTACTGCAGTGCTTAAACTTTGTTAGTTCTCCAAGCTGCACATTAAAACAACAAGGCTTATAAAAAGTAATGAAAGCAGCTATGGAAGTCTGCAGAGGGGAGCATAGAGAGCTGGAGAGTATTAGAAGTTCAATCCCAGCTCTGTAGCTAATGCTGGATGGGACCTGGTGGCTCTCCCCTGGCTGTGAATTTAACTGATTAAATCAGCCAGTGCACGCAGTGGTGGTGACATGAAAACAACAATTAATAAGGCTCCCCCCTGTGCCACGCGGCTCCCTTTAACCGAGCAGCTAATAACATAACCCACAGGACTGCAGCCCATCAGACACACACTCAGGCACACACACAGATGGCTATAGTTTGTTTGCTGCCTTTTGTTCACAGAAAATTAAATGTTTATCCAAGGTGGTAGGAGATTTCTCTCAACTACTCATTAAAAAATGAACTTGTAACGTAATAGCAAGTTCTTCCTAATGTGCTCTCATTGTTTTAGGACTTCATGTTTGTTTCATTGATACCTTTATGTACAATTGAGACAAAACATTTTTTCAACAGTTTTTCATCATCCACAAATGGAAAAAGAGCACAATTGAATGTCTTATTAGTGTAGTTACGAGGTAAGACTTATTTAATTTGACATGCTTTCTATCTCTTAATGAATGAGAAGTGCCACAGGGTGAAGACACACCCAAAACAAATTTGAAAAGAAAAAAAAACCTGCCACTTCTCTTCGTTCATCTATGTTCCTGCTGCATTTACCATTCCTGATAAGAGGTTGTCAGCAGGCAGGTTTGCCAGCACACTGGCAGGGTGCTGTCAACTTTTCTTGTCTGTGTGTGTGTGGGCGTGTGTGGATGGGTGTGTGTGATGTCTTCTCACTCTGACTCTCCTGCCAGTCAAAAATATAAAGATTAAATGACCATTTTCTACACTAAATGTTGTTGAAGTAATTTTCTATGTTGATCATTTAAAGTTTTCAACTAATCTGTAAGTAATTTGAGAAGTTAGACTACATGGTTGATTTGGGAAAAAACCTGTCTCAGGAGTGTGTTCAAAATCTGTTTCAATCACTTAGAGCGAGAATTACTTGTCATAGATTCATATTATGAGTCAGAAAACAGTGGAATTTGCTAAGTGTTTGTGGTGGTAACTGGCTTCACCAATATGACATAGTAATAATGTATTAAACCTCAACCAATTAGATATTTTTTGGCACTATCTGTGCCACTGATTAAAAGACATGCACACTGTCAGTCATGCTAGAAAATATGCATGTGCAGTAGTAATATTGGGTACTAGAAACAACCCAACCCTCATATTCTCTCAGCACCCCCCAACAAATAAAATAATAAATAAACTAATTCATATCAGTTTGGTTGTTTAAAACAAAATGTATATGATGATATGTAGCCTCTGACTCTGGCGCAGATCCAGGAAAGAGCATTGCGTCATGCTGCAGCTTTTTAGTTATCGTATTCTGAATTTTTTCTGCTGGAATATGACATTGTTCACTGGAATGTTTTCTTATGATACTTGATGTCATCCTTCTTGTTTTTTACTGTGTGCATATATATATATATATATATATATATATAAATATATATATATATATATATATATATTATATATATATAAAATAAGCTTAAAATATTTATTTTACTAAAATACCTATTGATTAAGAATGCTTGATTGAATTTAAAACAGTTCTCATTTGAACTACGAACTGTAAGAGGTTTCGAGAAGTTCAGTGTCTGCAGTGTGTCAGATTTAAATGTCAGTGAAGTCTCCCAGGACGCTTTAACATGGCACTCTGACAGTGAAGGATTAGACAGCACACACATTGCCTTTTGTGTGGCTTCTATGACTTGAACTTTGCTGGGCTCTAACATAACTTTTAACACCACCTTCTGTCAATTTTATGCCTGTGTTAATTTGTATATGTGTGAGAGAGGTGGAAAGGAAAGAAGCTGGGATGACCCCTCACCTCTGTGCAATGTGTCATAAAAATGAACGGAAGGGCCAAATGTTTCCTCCTTTTAAAGGAAAAAAAGCTTTGATGTTGTAATCTGAACGCTAAACCCCCCTATCATGACGCAGTGGCAGAAAAAAAAAAGTTTCCCCTTCTGCTGCATCTGTGATTGTGAGTGTATCCCAGTTCCTCTGTGAAAATGATGGATGACAAGTTAAATTTGTGTCTGGGGAGTGAAGGTGAACTGTGACAGAGTGATTTGTCTTGGGAATGGAGGGTTAGGGTCAGGCGAAACTGGGCGCCTCAAGGCACAAGACATTGACAAATTCATCCTGCCCGCTGCATTTCTGAAGCCTTTTGTTTTGAATCCTGGCTACTCACAAGTGACCCCCATCCCTCATCCTGCCAGCCACTGAAGGATGCCTCGCCATGCCAGGGGAGCTCAGCACCACAAATTCTTGTCATTCACTTCACTGACAGGCTCAGGCCCACAGTCTCCTGCCATATGAAAGGAGAGAGGCTGAAATATTTATTTCTGCACAATAACCGCGGAGCAGATTTGGAGCCGTAACCACTTTACTGTTTCCTTATCATTACAGGTCGCTGGCAGGCCTCAAAATGTTTACCGAGCTGGAAGAGTTGATCGTCGACAACAATCTGCTTGGAAATGACCTCCAGTTGCCCAGGTTACCCAAGCTCCACACCCTGACACTCAATAAGAACCAAATATCCTTTGAGAAGAATCAACTCAGGCCATAATTTACATTGCATTTCCAGACATAAATTACAGCAAACTGTTTTTCCCTCTTTCATAAGCGAGTACAATTCCCTATTGTCTGAAAGTGTCTCTTTGTAATGATGTGGCTTTGCAGGAAGCACTTTGTGTAGAAGAACTTGGCTGTCACACAGCTACACACGAGTAGTTTTTGAACTACAGGGACCTCTAGTGGAATCAGATTCAACAGTTACAATAACACACTTTTATTTTCAGAGTAGAAATAAAAGGACATCCTTTATTTATATTTTGCCTTATTTTATACAAAGCATGAAAACATTTTTTTTTTTCTTCCATAATCCGCCCTTGAATTAACAGTACCATGTTTTTAACTGATCTCCAGATACTCACATTTTACTTCATTGACTTGGGTATTTTCTAGATCCCAGACATTGCAAGTACATTAAAGCCACAGCTCTGTGGCGTCGCTGTAAATTTAGGCATAGATGTAAAGCATATTGCAAAGCTGTTTATGATCAGTCGGAGAAGTGCAAACTTCCTCTCTGAGCCTCAGAGCAGGTTCAGCAATGTGTCCTGTTTTCCTTTGGTTATGCAGATCCTGCTGGGTAACGATGTTCCCTCTCTCACAAATGCACACACACACGCACACTTCCAGAGTCAACATTAAAACTGGGACTCCTTGAACTGTGCATCTGGGACTGTGTGCTCAGTTCGGTTGTGAAGTGGTCGGCACATGCTAATAGGCCAATTATGTACATCCTGTCGTGGCATGGTGCCATTTTAAAGCTAGAGCGCCGCATTAGTGCAGTTGTATTTTGACACTTTGGGGCTCAATTTTCCAAGTGAATGTATTAGTGATGAATGTGCCTGCTTAGGGGCTGTTTGTTTTTTTTTTTTCCATGTTTCGCAAAACTCTTCCACAGCGTAGCTCCGAGAAGCATGGACTATTTGAACCACAGGGCATCCATCATTTTGTCACCGTTGTGCACCCGGCCACCTAGGAAATGAAAGAGATTTGAGAGAAAGAGTCAGAGCAGGAGCCAAATTGTGTCAGTGCTATATGCCAAAGCCTGCACCTTAAATTGCACCTCTGTCTGCCCACTCTCACAAAGCTACTGACTAGCCTCTTTGAGCACTTCAATAAATTTGACAGTGACATGTTTTAGTGCAGACAGGCCTGGGACGGGTTGTGTGCGTAGTGAATGCTAATGTAATTAACAGCGCTAGGTCCTTGACATCTACCCTTTGACACCTGACTGATATCGAGGCCCTGCTGGAACACTTAGCTGATGTGACCCCATCGCTCGAGTATCTAAGCCTGCTGGGAAACGAGGCCTGCCCCAACCAGCTGGTGAGCCTGGATAAGGATGACGACGACTACCAGAGATACAGGTCTGTTGCTTCATGTACCGGTAGTTACTTTTATGAATATGATTAAATCTGTAATTATTCATACTGATGGTAGGTTTATATTTAAGATAATTTTCATTGAACTGAAAAGTTTGCTTTTGATAGAAAATGGGACACCCATTTGTTAAACATATATATATATTTAAAACTATATATAGTCACTTAAAAAAAAAAAAAAAAAAAAAAAACATGTTTACATATTATTTATACTCCGCTAGATAAAAAAATAATATTTTTGGCACTATTTCAATTAAATTCTATTCATATTTATTGAAAAAAATTCTTGTTTTTTTTTTCATATTTCCAATGCATGTTTTTGTTTATCTGCTTTTTGTTGAGTTCTATGTTATTAAGATTGGAAGCTCCAGGACCTCAATGTTAGGCTTGTTCCACAAATCATTTGGTATCTTCATTTACTACAAATCCACATGAATTGTTTCAGAACTCTAAAGCTTACAGCTAGTCGACAAACTATCAAAGACCAAAGTGGACATGTGACATCACATTTAGGTTTATTTCAATAGATTTAAAAAAAAAAAATCAGTTCTTGTCCTCATTTCTATATTGATTTAAAAAAGCAACAACATTGATTTATGTTTTTAACAGTTTTAAGTTTGCACAGTGCTTCAGTTCAGACTTTAAAATAAGTCGGCACAAGGCTGGAAAAGTCTAAGTGAAATTGTATTTTTATTGAATAATATAAGAATACGAGTGTGTTTATAGAACGAAGGAAGAAAATAAGGAGTTAACCGGTGTGACATTGAGCCGGTGCCAATGACTGAAAGAACCAGCAGAGAACCTATGTATTATATAAAAAGACTGATTACTACTACAAAGTGGGACCAAATAACTAGATGTGCAGCAGGTGAAGGGGAGTAGGGACTATTATTTTGAGGAAAATAAAAATGTCAAAATAACAAAAATACCTATTCTAGTATGGCTCAGTGGAAACAAGGCCTTTAAGGTTTATCTTAATTTAAATTTATTTCAGGAAAGATATCAGTTCAACTTATTAACACAACCTCAATTCGAAATTCCAAAATTATTCTTATTACGTGAATTATGTAGGCAAGTTTTCTACCACAACTAATAAGAGAGTGTGCTTTTGTAAATTGCAATAAATTTCAAGGTGTTAATTTTTGACCACCAGCATTTGCATTTCATAACCAGACTATGGACTCAGCTTCATCACTCTAAAAGCTTTGTCAACTGGCCTCGGTACACTCCAGTTTGCAAAATGGATTTCATGTGTGACTAGTCATCGCCACAAATGAGTGTTTACTACCCTGCCTTACCAGAGCAGATGATGCATTAAACATCAAGCCAAGCCCCGAGTCAGGCAATATGACCACCATTTGTCAGGGTCTTTTACATGAAATGTGATAAAAGGCGAAAAGTATACTCTCTTTTGTCTGTTTTAGCCCTAAGTGCTTGTTTCTGACTCTGTGTTTCCTATTAATCATTTACCACCCATGCCTTTCTTGAATAATCTTTTCTTCTCTCTTTTTTTTTTTTTTGTCTTTATACCCCTCTCGCTCTCCGCCTGCCTCCCTCTCCCCCCCTTCAAACTCTCTTCCCTACCCTTTTTCTCCTTCTACTTGCATGCTTAACTTACTGGTGAGGAAGGCTGTTCTGTTTTGACTGACAACGTCTACAGTCCTGTAATGTAATATTCATAGTGTGTCACATAGTAAAACATCAATTTGAGCGTGATGCAGATTTTATGTCTGACAAGGTTAGGCTGTATGCAGGTCGTGACAGCACTGGCCTTGGGCAATAAATACCCGGCCCAGTGCCTGAGGAGTTTTCGCTCTCTCAAGTGAAATATCCTGGTGTGCCGCATCGGTGACCCAATTAGTTCAGTGACACAGAAATATAGCATTCATTCCCTGAACACAGTAGTGAGCATGGAGGTTAAATGTTGTCCTCTTCTTTGATGACTTTTAAAATCCACACTGTCCCTTGGTTTTCAGTACCAGAATATGAAGGTGAAACAGTCTGAATTTTGGGGGGCCGATTTATAATTTTGCCAGTTTTAGTTAATTCAGGTTTCTTATTTACAACTATATTAAACAGCATTGAAAATACATTTCCTTCCAGTCACTTATACAGCCTTATTTGTGCTATTAACATGGCTAGCATTACAAAAGTCCTACTCATATTTAAAATATTTAACTAAAAAATCATATGTTTTTGATTTGAGAGCTAGATTCCTGATGTTCACTCAGCTTTCTTTCTCTTTCCCCACGCAAAACTCTCATAATTTCCATTGTAATGCCTCTTGCACAAATAGTTTCTCTTTTCTCTGAAGTAAACTCTATAAGCCAAACTGGCACATTCCCAAAAAGCAAGTGATTGAAAAGTCACATTATTGCTTCTATAAAGAGAAAAAAAGCTCTGTGATTGAAAAAACAGACCTGAGAGTGTAGGTTTTGTGTCACCAGAGGAAGTTAAAGTACAACTTTATTATTTATATCTGGTGAATTAAGTATCCTGTTCTTATACAATAAATGTTTCCTGCTAAAACTTGAAGAAAAAATAAATAAATAAAAAATAAAATAAATAATAAATCTTCAAGCAATCAATGTGTGTATCCTTTAACTCTGATTCAGACCTGTTTCACAAGTGATGGCATGTTCCATGACTAAAAACTCAAACAAAGCAACCTGAGCACAACAACTTTGCTTCCATTCCTTCACACTTTCTGGTGTCTGATTGAGTATACTCAAAAACTGCACAAGATAAATACAAATTATCATGTGTGCAGAAGGCACACAGGACTGCACAACATACAGGAATATAATGTTATTGCAACATTAGAGTACAAAATATTTATATCACAAAGGGGTATTTGGAATGCAATAATTGTTGGCTGATATGTTCAAAGTATTATGAACTTGCATTTTAAACGTTAATGTAATTTTAAGCCTGTTGGAAATGTTAACACCAGAAAGAAAGAAGAGCAGAACATAAGCAATTAATCAATTAATTGATTAATTAATAATAAATTATGCATAATTTTTATATTAATATTTTTGAAGGGCTATATTTTGCATCTAGAAACAACCCATTGTATTCATGGTTATGGTTGTATTTTTATTTCATCATCACCTTTGTAATATTTTTTATCGTTCAACCCTAATAACACCTTGTCATATGCAAAAAAGTTGTGTACACAATTAAAACGAGTAGAATAAAAATATACAGGAGAAAAATAATCAGAACGTACCAAAGTCTACTAGATGTAGTACTTTAAATTACTCCTTTTAAGCAACGTACCGCATTTTTTCTGTGTCATAATTTTATTTTAAACGTGTGATATTAAACGATGGCGATCTGCAAGCCCTTTCCAGTAAGTATCCACTTCCACATTGAAATGCTGTGGTTCATGAGACCTGTTCATGAAATTTTGGTGTGTTCACAGATCAGAAAAAAGTAATATTTTCATAGGTTTAGTCAATCTAGATGAAAATACTGTCTAAATTATCTCACCAGCTGTTTCTCACTGTAACTACTAAACTAACACCATTTTCTGTTTCCTTGTGTTGTGGATTCAAAAATCTGTGCGTCCTGTTGAGCAAGCCTGATCAGTACACTGACAATTTTAGGCTCACGGAAAAGTGACAACAGATGTTAATCCAACTTCCTTTCTCTTTGATTCCATGATGTACATAAATAAACAAAATTTCTCTGACATTCACCCCTTTAACTTGTGGAGAGTTATCAGTTTGAACAATTTGCTGTTGTGGCACATAAAATGGGAGTTTGAGGAATCTCAACCACCAACTGTGCTTTGTTCTCATTTTTATGAAATGCTATAAGTGCTGCTGAGTAATGATCACCCAAAGTGTCTTTTATGTCAATTAAATAAAAGAAAATTACCATTATTTGTATTTCTTCACACTAGACAGACTTTGCATCAAGTCCTAGAGTTGTGAGATAATTGAGCAAACACATTTTAAGTAACTTCAACATCAGTTGTGTGTATTATTAATCGAACATGTACTCTGTATGAATTAATAAAGTCAAATTTTTTTAAACATTTGTATATATTTTTTTGTTTTACCTTAATACAGGCATTTGATATTTTGCTAAATAAACTACATCTAGTCCTTTACTAGTCAAGCAGCACCACCACAGCCCTACCCACCCTCCATGCTACCCCCTGCATCTCCTTTGCTTTCTTATCCTCCCTCAGTGGTCGGGGTTGAATCATTAATATCACCACTGGCTGACAGAGGCTTGTCATCTGTTCTGACCCTATGATGGCAGGTTACCTATGGAGAATAACCTCCCTGTGTGTTTCCCAAGGGCATCTTCACCTTTGATCATGGAAATGCCCAGAACAAAGTCCTTTTGCATGCAGAGGGACACAGGCTGGGAAGGAGGCCTCCTGGATTTGAGTGTTAGTGTTATTATCAGAAGAAATAAAGCTTCTTGTTTCTTGTTAAGGGATTAGAAGAAGGCTATTTTAACCTGTCATAAGAGTTAGACGGTAAAGGATTCCCTAGTATGTTTTCTAGATAGGACGTATTGTAATTTTCTTTATTACATCTATGTAATATGTATTTTCTTCCTTAATTTGCATGTCGATGTTTAATGTTCCCAGTCTGATTCTTGCATCCCTTCTCATTATCCTCAGGTGTTGAAAAGTTGACTCAGGCTTTGCCATCTCCCTTCATCGCCATTGCCATCATCAATTTGTCACAACCCCTCACACACACGGGTCTTGTCTCGACCCATATTCCTCGTCCTTTCTCACCCTCCACTTTAGGTGGTGGATGTGTGTCCTTTCTGGCTACCAGCTCAGCCCTGACATACTGGTTCCTCTAACCCTGCCTGCCAGTGAAAGGATCTGTTGTCATCTGTGTATTCCAGCCATTATCTTTTGACGTTTCTCTCCCTCCCAATGAAAAACAGAGTGTGTCCGAAAGCTTAGAGAGGTATCCAGGATGCAGCAAGAATGACAGCTCTTGCACAGGTTGTATCTCCTTGGGTGCCATTTAGCTGGTATATTCTTCTCAGCTTTGAAGGTTATTGCATTCATGGATAGATCACCACTTAATCTGCATCTCCATTAATCCTGCTTCTTTTCAGGCTTTCCTTAATATTAGAATATAATATTAGAAATTATGTTGCGATTGTATGTCGTAATAACTCCTACAGCATTGAAGATAATTTAGGCCCCTTGAACCTTTACACATGTTTAATACAGTTTTGAAGGGCTTAACAAAAATTTGCATTAATAGTTGCAAGGCTTTTGCTGTATGTCTTTTCTGGATTCATACATTCAGAAGCATTTTTTTCCAATCCTTTACAAAACAGTTTAATTTCAGTAAAATTGGATGTGTAGAATCTGTGAAGGCCATTTTTTAAATCAGTCCTAAGATTTTTAATTGGATAAAGATCTTAACTTGGTCTTTCCTATACATTTGCATGTTTTGATCTAAACTACAGTATTTGATTGTAGATTTTTTTAGTGCCTTTAATCTGTTGAAAGGTGAACATCCCACCCTATTTAAAATCTCTGAGCATTTAACATGTTTTCCTTATTTTAAACTGTGCCAATTTTCTAATGAATCCTGACTAACTTCTCTTGTCTTGCTAAAGATACACAACCACACTAGGGTTTGCATGGCAAAGTCCCATGGCAGCAGAAGTTCATACCAAAAACAAATAACATTGCTTATGTTACTAAGGGTCACAGTGATGGAAGCACAGATGAGAAGGAATAAATAGAAATACATCGCTACTGACAGCGTCAAGATTTTCTAATATTCTTGAGGGAACCAAAATCCCCTCTTACATATGTTTCTTCTTTATGCTCTACATGACTACCTTATGAGAAAATAGTCTAATGAAGCTGATTTCTTTGATTGTCTTACAGGTACTTTGTACTTCACAAATTGCCCCAGCTGAAGTTTCTGGACTCCAGGAAAGTAACAAAAAAAGAACTGATGGAGGCACAGGCGAGAGGGGCGTTCATGAAAGTGGTGAAGCCAAAGTTGGAAGCAGTAAGTTATCTAAAGTTAGAGTTGTATTTTGTCACCTTCCTAAAATAATGGCCTAAGTATTTATTTATTTATTTATTGACAAAAAATTGCCACTAATTTGCCAAAAAATAATTGAACCCCACCAAAAAATCACTTTTGGTTAAAAAAAAACAAAACTGGCATAGACCTTTGTTTTTGGAAGGTCAGAATATGTGAGTTTTGCTTGTGCGCTTCTATAAATGTGCGTGAGCGTGCATGTGGCCACAGCCTGACCTGATTCCGTATGCATGAATCCAGATCAAAGGCGACGGGCGGCTGTCCGGTCACACTTGTGTTGCCTAGTGTGACGTGTCTGCCGATTGAAGTGACAGCTCATGTACACTCTTTGCACAATCGCTTAATTATCTCAAACCCCATACGTTTGTTGGTCGCTCTCTTGTTTTGAGAACCAAAGACTAATCAGACTTCAAGATGTTCATTTGTATTTCTACTGTACCCTTTGTAACAACCTATTTAAAGGCACATCTCCTACCCAGATTGGATTGAATGTAATTGTAAAGTCATTAAATATTTACAATTTTGTCTTAGGGTCTCTGAGGCTCTCTCTCACACACACGCACACACACATGCACATGCCGAGAGAAAGATAGTTAGAGTACAGCCAAAAGCTTCTTGTGACAAATAAGAAGCATGTGAGTCAATGTTGGTTTTTAAAAAAACATGAGGAAAACAATATATTCATTGTTTTAGATAATAAGCTACGATAGTGTACTCTTTGAGTGTCACTCCATGCTATGCTTTGTTTTTGATCCTCCATGCGAGTGGCAAGCGGGAAAGCAAAACATTGAAATAATTTAACCTCAGACTGCCGTGTTTGGTAGATGGAGAAAAGCAGAGTGAAAACACTGATCACTCACTTTATATGAAAAGAATAGAAAGGACCTCTACAATGCTGTTTGGCAGGGTAAAGTCACTTTTAAGATTGTATTTACATAGCTTGTCAGTAAAAAAGAAATGCTTGGCTTTGTCGCCGCAGCTGTAGATGAAAGGAGAGATAATCACAGATTCTAGCTGACATGATGTGTTTTTGTGTCTTGGTGCCTTTGAACCAGTTGCGTGTGATTATTTATTCCTTATGTAAAGTAAAAGTTTACAGCTTTCATATAAAAAGGGTCTACTTAACATTGTGCTGTAATTTGTGCACTGGAGCATATTCCTGATCTTCTTTTCCTAATTCCTCATTAGTATCATAAAAGTCAGGCTACACAAAGTGGAAACTGTTTTGGATTTATTTCAGTTTGGGATTCTGGGATTTCCCTGCATCGTTTCCTCAGCTTTATATTTCAACTACACCAGAGTCAACGAGTCTTGCAAACTTCCCAGCTTCAACTGCCTATTTCATCGGAGTTCTTCATAAGATGACCGATGTTGCAGGCCACCAATTAGAGAAGCGTTTACAGCATGAACAGGGAAGATGATGGCATAATTAGATACTCGTGTTTCCTTTTATGTCGGCTACAGCAGGATGCTGCTAACAGTGCAGTCTCTGTCATTAGCTTTATTACAAGGAATGGTAATTAGCTGTCTCTTTGCTGCATGCATTCAAATTTAAGTCTCAATTGGGCAAGTATCAAAGAAGAAAATATTAAGAATAATGAAGATTATTTATTAAAATACTTCACAATAGACATAGCCTAAAAGTTTTTTTTTCTTCTTCTTTTGATTTGCTGTTATTTTTTCTGGGTCCTTTTCATAATTCGTCTTGCTGCGAGCAGCACAAATCCATTAAATCAAAAACAGAGATACAGCAGCAACTCTAGGAGTGTTAGTGATAAATGCCAACTCCTGACAGCAGAAATTAACAAAAAAGGCCCCTTCTATCACATCATTCTCATTGGCTGATGTATGTTTTGGAAAAGGGATTGTGGCTAACTTCCAGGACCTCTCTTGAGTCATATCGAAGTTAAATGTGACCACAGTTTAAACTCTCTCTCTCTTATTTTTTTCTTAATCATACCATTGTGGCATGGCAGTGAGCGATGCCACATGGCTCTGATAAAACAGTTATGGTCTTTAGCACAATCGGAACAGCACAGCTTTTCATGCATTCACAATGTTTTCCATGTCAGCTGAATCAAAACCAGACAGTCAAAAACCAGTTTCCAAGAAAAATGAAACCAGGTCAAAAGCTTGTTTGTGAGAAATGCTGAATTAACACCAAAACATTAAGTGGCCTATAAGATATATGTCTTGGAGTCACATAGGACTAATGAAACCTCTCAAGAAAAAAACAATGCTTTTGAGAAAATGAAGAAGCTCAGTTTTTTTTTTTTTGTTAATGGAGAAAAGGTTTCAGAAACTACAAGCTGTGTTTTAAATAATCTTTAATAAAATCTGTGTAATTCAGTTTATTTATAAATCACTTTGTATGTTATCTCAAAGCATTTAAGATGAACAGCTCCAACTGATTTAAATACTTATATAATCAAATCAGTCCAAATAATTTCACAAAGACATTTCATTTCATTTTGGTCGTCGATGCAATAGCATGCGGGCAAATTCAATTTATTATGAAAATTACTAAAATCTTAACACAAGCTAAATGTATCTCATCTTCTCGTGAAAATGAAAATCTTAAATTCAATCTAGAGGGAACTAACTTACTGTTTTTTTTTTTGGGGGGGGGGGTGTAATTCATGTGTAAAGCATAGATTTTAGTAATGAGATGCTTAGAAACTGTTGAACTTTTAATTTCACCAGGCAGGGTTACTAAATCTTGCTCTAAATGTTTTGTAATTTAGGGTTTCTGGTATTTATCAGATGTCATCCAGTCGAGATTGTAAAATGTTCACAAATTACATCTGTTTGTTTAAAACTCCTTAATTGCCATGAGGACACTGGTTTGACTAACAATTAAGGGGTTAAAACTATGCTAATATAAACAGACTGTGATGCTATGGACTGCATTTGAAAAGATACTGGGATGAATTGTGTGATTTTTGTAGCCAAACTGTCTCTGCGTGCTACAATTGATTGGAAATCTGAAAGGAACATTTAGTTTATTGTGCTACATTTAAAACTATGTAATGTAATAAAGTGGCTCAAAACTGGCTCTTAGGTTTTGGAAAACCAGCCCAACTCTTTCAAAGAATCAGTTGAGAACCAGCTATTGCATGAGCTTCGGTTAATAACTGGAAGTACTTTGTTAGAAAAACCCTATTTATTAGAGTTTCTTTTTCTACAGAGTACCCAAAATGCTGCCGAAAATCATATTATAGTGATTATGACTTCTCCAATGGTTTTTCAACTTGATGTTGATGGCAACTGCAGTCCAATGCCAATCATAGTTTTTTTTTATATTTTAAAATTTCACATTTGAATCCATATTTTCACATTTTCTTTGCAAACACCAATGTCAGAGCACAGTAAAAAACATATCACAGCTAAATTGTTTTACTTTCTTTAAGTAAAAGGTGTTTTGTTCCTTTATGCTTTAAACAGCATTAAAATAATTTATTTAGCAATATTATGTCTTTTGTGCTTCAGCTTTAAAAAAGGGATGTTTTTTCTTTTTTCTTTTTTTTCTATTTCTCATTTGTTATGCTGCATTTCTGCATAAATTGCTAAGCAGTATGACCAAAACAAAGACAAAATGACAAGATAAAGGCAGGCAAATATATAAATACCTGAAGTAAACAGAATAACAGCAGTGACGATTGAAGTCTTTTCCAAAAACCGCAACACTAAACAGAGTCAGACGGGAAAAGCTTTGAGCTGTATTTTGGGAATTTGGGCGTGTTGGAATGTTATAATGTGATAATTCTCTTTGAGGACTTGGAGGTCATGGAATGAGATGGCGTTAAACCACGTAGAGCTATTTAGACCATGCTGGTCTGCTTTTGGAAAGTACATGTGGTACTTTTTGGCACACTCACTCCTTCTTTTTTGCCATGGAGCCCACATTATGCTGTCAAATCCTTGGGTTAAACTGGCCATGTCTATCAAAACACTGTAACAGCACGTTCTGTTTTCACATCCTAAGCACTGAAAAAAGAAAAGTACATCGAAAACATAACTAGCAGAAAAAAACATTTACCTATTAAGCAGAATGTTTCACAGTGAATTAAGTAACTCCTGGGTTCTAATCCCTAACATTAAGGACTTCTTGGTCGCTACGTCAGCAGGTACAAATGTTCCCAGAAGTCACTTAGATTTTGCTTGGATGAGGTATTTGGTTTGATTTTCAAGCATGAAGATCTCTCTTTTTCTGCCTGTAATGTAAAACAGACGGCATTGCAGGAAGCCTTGGCCAGCTCCTGGGTCCCATGAGTATCTGCACACAGGGTAAACGGTTCTTCAAGGGAATTGACAGTGACAGGTCCAGGAAAGTCTTCAAGTGGATCTTTTCAGTTCAGTTTTTTCCTCTCCAGACACTAACCTGTTTTACTCCGCAGCACACAGTGGTTCATTTTAAGTTTTCACTGTAGGAAAGACATTCAAATCAACGAATGACTAGTTTCAGAGCCGTGACTGTTCATTATGTTATTTGTAATTGTGCTTTTTGTGTTGTTGTTTTTGCCTTTTTGCTCAGTTATTTTTCCTTCCTGAAATGCACCCAGTGCACCCACGTTCATCTCTGGTCTTGAGAGTTATGGGCTCCCCGAAGCTCTCAAACATAACAAACAGCATGCAATATAGCTCTTTGTGAATGTGCCTTCAGTGAGTTCACTGAATCATTTTACTGAACAAATGTTTCCTCAGAGGAAACTCTAAGAATATGGTTGTCACCAGGGGAAGGGAAAATAACCAAACAAATTGCTGGGGAAGAAGGTTTATTACCCCTCCCACTCTCTGTTAGGTTTTAGATTTGTAAGAGCTATTACAGTGCCTTACAAAGGTATACATACTCCTCGAACTCCTTTGGATTTCATCACATTTTAACCTGAACTTTGTCTGGGTCATTCTACAAAAACAATGATTTGATCCAAGCCATTTCATTGTTGCTAGTTGTATGTTCAGAA